TTGGATCATGTTCTGCCTGGTTGGCTCTCCCTTTTCCGCGGTATGACCTAAAACGGCCACGTCCTTTTCGCTTGCCACCCTTTGCTCTTCCCGGTGATCCGGGACGCATTCTTGGTCTTCTTCCCTTTTTGAATCTCCTTGCAACGAAGGCTTCATGGTCGTCAACTGTCCAGAAGACAGCTTCTTCATCCTCGGCGGCAAGAAAGCCTTCCTCAAGGGTGTCTTCGTCTTGGAGCCAGAATCCATCGACTCCGTCGTATTCACCCTGATCGAGGATGAGGAAGTTTCGACCTCCGCGTTTGCGGCGTTGGTCTCTCCTTCCATGGCGGTCCTTCTTGTGAGAAGAGTGCCGAATGTTGGGATCCTGCAGACCAGTTCTGGTCGTTGAGAACTGATCGAACATGGTCTGCCGTACCACAGGGTACGTATAGGTCTCAATTCGGTGACCTTGGTTGGTCAATGCTGTTACCAACCTCTCACGTTGCATCTCATTTAGGTCGGACTGCACTAGGAAGAGAAGAGCTAGGAGATTATCATTCAGAGGAAACGCTCTTCGATGATTGTCAAGGCGTTCCTTGTTCCATGTTTCGAAATAGCGTGCGGCGTATGTGTCTCTCTCGGCTGCTTCCTGTAGGCCCAGGAAGGTTCGGTCTGCCTGCACAGCTTGCATGAAATCTGGATGGGCATCTTCCAGAGCTATCTCTGGTAAGAGATCCATCCATGAGTTTTTCACGCGCTGTAGCACGATCTCAAACTTAGCAATCCAAGTCACAAAGTCTTGGTTGCCCTTCCATGCCTTGAATAGGCCGAGGAAACGCCACAGGAAAACGTACTGTTCTCCTTTCACGAAAAATGGACGCATCTTCTTCTTGAAGTAATCTACTCCATCTGGGGCTGCAAGCCTTTCTCGGTTAAGTGATTCTTTTTGTACTGCGGCCAATCCGGAGAGCCTCGTCTTGAGAGACGGACCTCTTTTGGTGTCATCCAGCGTTGTTATGTCGCACCAGTCGTCAATCAACTGTTCATACTCAAACCACGAAGTGGTGCCATCATAGGCAGGCGCGATCTTGGGCGTTATGCCTAATGATGCAAGCATGCGGTCAGATGTTGCATATGACTGTGCGACATAAGTGGCTGGACCTTGGGAGGTCTCTTCGTTCTCATATCCCCCGGAGGATTGGGAACTGCCGTCGGCTTCGCTATGCGAGCTCGACATTGTGCTGCCTCTTATCCGCTTGGTTAAGCGTTCGGCGAGGCCGACCGCTGTAGCGGACTTTAGGAGGCGGGCGGCCCTTTCCGGGCTCCGCTACCAGAAAACTGTGCCGATACACCCACAAGGAATACTCCTTGTTAGGAGGTGTATGACCAGTTATTCCCTAAGGATCAAAGGGCAGCGCCCTGCACACGGACAGTAGTTGTTTTGTCTTGCTACGCAAGGAGAGCTTGTCTTGTCTCAATATGGTAAAACCACTGTGAGCCAATGGGCAGCGGAATGTATATGTATGAGCATGCAGCCATTGCTGTAGGTACCTGTTAGAGCTACCCCTTTAGAGGTTTATGGTTTCACCCCCCCACCCTTCCTCCTCCGGCCCCCCCTTCCTCCTCCGGCTTCCCCTTGTTTTTTGTCTTCTGCCTGCTCGTTTTCTTTCACCTTTTCTTCTCTTTCGGCCTGCCCCCGGCTCCACTGTGGGTTTTGCTGCATGTGTTTGCTCTACACTTGCCACACTTCTCCAAGTAGCCCTGACCCTGCAACTAAATTACACCTGCTTTAAGAGGCCCTTCGCAGTTTGGCCCCTGCTCTGCGCCCCTGCTGGCCCTACTGCAGCCGGCGGCCGAGGCGGGCTGCGTAGCATTAGAATTAAAGCTATCATTGACAAGGTTGGCCCATAAATCCGCAAGGGGTGGATACGACTTTGTCCCATGCGCTTATGGCGAAGAGTGTCGCTGGCCGCACGCCTAGCTCCATGATGACCTGCAGCGTCCTGACTGCAATTCAGGCTGACTCCAGGCAAGCATGACAACACCCAGACATACACAACGACAGCAAAGTCACCTGAAAGAACATGCATGTTGTTGGCTTCGCTTGTGCACTTACGCAAGATCCACCGCCCATCCCACAGGCACCGGTCATCTCGCGTTTTGCCCAAAGGCACTCAGACACCTATATGATGCAACTGATCTCACCGCACATTTCGGGGTGGGTCCCTGGCAAAGGAAAGGGTGAATGTGAAGACATATGAAGAAATCCAAGGATTCTTTCCTCCCTGCAGCACGATCGACATTGGCTTTTTGCTTGACTGACCTTGGCAGCCAACCAGCTTCCATTGAGGACACCCGGCACGGGATGACGGCAAACCTTCGAATTAAATGTCCGACATCTCACAAGAGAAAGCCAAGTAATTATGCGCCTTTTGCAATCCGCTGCTGGCGATCACGATGCCAGCTTGCGAGACGCTGCCAACGCTAGTGCCGATTCGGACTTCAGGAGCCATGGACCGTCTCGCAGCTTGGGTGGCCACCGCTGCTGCCCCCGACTGGCCCTGTAAGCTTTGATGTCTACGACGTCCCCTCTGCGTCGCCATCCTTTAGAACATGTGCCGTCTGCAAGAGCGCCACAGAAATCCCAAGTGAGCAACTTGGAGCACGGAAATCCCCTGATCTGGCGCTACCCACTTGCCTGTGCGCCGGTCCATTGAGTCAGCGCTGCAACAAATCTTATTTCCTCCCCTGGGTCCCCCGTTGCATTCGTGAGGGCACACCATGATGCAGAATCGATGCGCGGCATCGTAGGACATCCGAGTCTGTACGACAGCTGCCGAAAGCGGTGCGGTGCCATGATCCCAGCTGCTCGCACCAATATGCGCCAATTATGGGACGTCAAACATCTCAAGAGGCAGCTTGAGCCTTCGCGGCTGCCATGACGTCTGAGTTCTTCCCACCTGCTTAATTAAACTTGCACGCTGTTGCCTCTGCTCGTTGCATCCGCTGAACTCAATGCACGCCTCAGCCGTCTAGAGCTACAGTCCACTACAATCCACTACAAAAAGCTTCCTATGTTGTAGATGAACCCCCCATCACCTCTGATGAACTGGATTCTGTATGCAGACGAATTAAATTCCCAAAGACGCCTGGCCAGGAAGGAGCAACAACAGCTCGGACCCAAATAATGAGTTTTTACTTTTGGATGCCGCAAACAAGCGTCTTGAAGGAGGAGAAATTCCAGAACGAATTCTGGAAGCTGTCGTGGTTTCGATTTATGTATACTGTGACTCCACTTCTATTGAACACTATCGGCCGATCCCGCTGTTAACGTCATGGTGCAAGATCAAGGATCGGATGCAGTGTCCATCCATCTCGATATGGGTTCCGGAAATCCGGGAGCACTGGTGGACCCATTTTCGTAGTCAGAGGGTTGCAAGACATGGCACCGAATTGGCAGCAGCACTTTTTTGGTACTTTTTAATTGAAGGATGGCTTTCGACAAGATCGTTTAAATCAAACTTGTCGAACATTGGCCAAGGCTGAGCGAGAAAAGGCTGAAAGTACCGAACAAAATTGTAGAACTAGATCGAAAGCTTCTATAGGGGTCCTCAGTTCACAGTTATTACGAAGGGACATGACTCTGAATGGTTGGCTCAACATACAGGCATAAAACAAGGCTGTCCGCTTCCCCCCTTGTGTATTTTCTTAGTAATGGGAACCTTTTTCTGTACATCAAGGAAATCGAGGCTGACCTCAGCACTCCCAGGCAGCATGTTCGGGGCAAATGCACATTGCGTCAATGCTATCTCTCTACATCGTAACACTCTACATGCAATCGAAATACCTTCAGCATACTGCGGTCCCACCTTGCCCTATGGAAGTGTGTGAATCTCAGTGCGAACCAAAAGCAATCTGATAATCTTCGTTCAGATTCTCCACCACAGGTCGGCTCAAGGCAAGCATGTCCCGAGAAAGGACTTGTGCCTCCTAACTTAGAACTTTGCAAGCAGACCCTTCGACAATAGAGCCGAAACTTCCAACAGAATCGGTGACTATATAGGTACGTTGCAACCGATGTGGAATCAAGCCAACGAAAGAATAAAATGGAAAAGACTCGTATTATGCTCTCACAACTCGGACAAGCCAGACGAATTCTCTGAGTTCGGGTCAGCGACTATTTACATGTAGCCCTAAACCCTAAACCCAGATATTCAATGCTGTCGTCCGATCCAACTGACGCCATGGATTTGGTTTGAACGGGTGCAGCTAGCTAACGCTGAACTCTCAACTTGCATTCCTTCCATCAACCAGAAGGCGGCCAGGCCGGCCAAAAGCAGATTGGACCACCGAAGCTTACAAAAGATGCAGATGATGCGTTGCACGGCGATGCTGATGCTTCTGATGCAAAAAACCTATACATCCGCAGGGCAAGCACCACTCAGATCAGACACCTCTTTTCCACCCTCCCATATCCTTGATGGTCAGTGTCACCGAAGGCATCAATGCCAGACTGGTGACACACGAGGAATCGTGATGTTTCAACACATCCTGTGCCCGTCTTGGATCTACCAGAGCTGAGCCCAGAGCTCAACATTGGGAAACGCTCCTGCAGGCGGTCCAAGCGTTCCTTCCAATCCTGCGCAGGCTTCTCACAGCATCCGCAGGCATCAAATTCTTGAAACCTGCACACCAAGTGGAACTTTTGCGGCTTGCTTAACTGACGTGAAACCTTCGAAGGTCCTCCTCACCAACGCGGAGCTTTGGTTCATCTTAGCGCATCACACCGCGACTTCTCTCAACATACTGTTTCTAGGAGCATTCCGATTTCGCATAAATTTAGTGGCGAATGGACCTTGAATCAAAGGCCTCCTTGTAGGCTTTGGGAGTGTTGGTTTAGGTTCAGTCCATTCCGTGCACAGTAACTCAGTAACAGTAGAAAATAGTAGAAACCGAGGCGTTATTCGAAAGATTTCAGTCGCGATGGAAACCCTGCTTAAACAGGCTGCGTGGTTTCCCATCTATGGCCGACTGGTCGTGCCAGTGAACCCAGTGGGCCCTAGCTGCAAGCATCCAGAAGAACGCCAACGACTTGGCAGAACCAAGGCGTCGGCCATCAGGTTGCGAGGCATCGGCCTCGCAAGAACACCAAGGTTGCGTGCTACGCTTTGCAGTGCTGCAGTTAGTGCTTCGTGGACTCGGCCTCTTTCGGCTTCTTCTCGCGCCTCTGCACAAAGAAACATGGTCTGGATGAGCCAGAACCAGCGGGTCATCATGTCGTGCCGGGGGCTTGGCCTGCAGGCTGTGAAAGCCGGCCCAGCAGCTCCTCGTATCGTCCAGACAGGAGCCAGAAGATTTTGAGACGACTCACGGCAGTGTCCGACCTGCTGGGACGCGCCGAGCAGCTTCAGGGTCCTCCTTGCAGTGACAAACCACCATGGAATCCTTCGAATGGTTACACTCGGATGCTTTGAGCTCAGCCACCACGGGCTGCAGAAGGGGTTTGCCACGTGCGTCATGCAATGGAAGCCAACCTGCGGCCAGGAGTCAGCGCAGCAACTCGACAAAGCACACAACTCTGCGCCTCTGTCGGTTTTCACCCACTGTTCAAGTACCTTCACCTGAGTTGTGATTTGCGGAGGTGTAGCCCATGCAAGCTTCTTGATGACAGCTGGCAGTGCTTGAGCTGCAAGCCACTTCCCCTGCCCCAACGCTGCTGTCCAGTCTGTCGTTGAATTCGGGGCTTCTCCTGGAAAAGTCCGTCGCGAGCTGCGGACAGTTTCCAGAGAATTCAAATTGACATGACATCTCCAAGCTCCCACCACTCGATGAGGAGGCATGTCCCCAAGCCGCGCATTGTTGAACAGTTAAGCATCGGAAGATTCAGCCGTGGCACCCCTTGAGTCCTGTCCTCCAGGAAATTCCATGGGGAGCAATGACGCGAAAAGGCAGGGCACCTGCCAAAAAGTCACGCCGCTGTTCGCTGCGCAACATTCCATGATGGGACCTGTTGTCTAATCATGCAGCTCAGAGTGGCCATAGTCATCGTTCGAAGGCCCAGCATGCAAACGCTGAAAGCTGAGTTGTAAATGTACTTCTCAGAATAGCGCTCAGTCTAGAATCTCTGAGTTGGCCCTTCCTTGCGTACGGGAGTTGGAGCACTTCATCGACTTCAGGAATCTCAGGACCTTCAGGAGGTCTGCATTCGGCATCCTGCACTTCCGGGGATACATGATTCGGGGTTCTTGGTTGGACAGATTCGCCTGCTGCGGTGTCTGCTGTCATCAGTAGTACTTAGTACAGTAGTAGTAGTAGTAGTAGTAGTAGTAGTAGTAGTAGTAGTAGTAGTAGTAGTAGTAGTAGTAGTAGTAGTAGTAGTAGTAGTAGTAGTTTGTTTTGTCACCCACCTGTAGTAGTAGTAGTAGTAGTAGTAGCAGTAGTAGTGGTGGTGGTGGTGGTGGTGGTGGTGGTGGTGGTAGTTGTTGTTGTTGTTGTTGCCGTATGTTGCCGTGGTGGTGGTGGTGGTGGTGAGCAGCAGTAGCAGAAGGGTGCGGCAGCAGTAGCGGTAGCAGCAGCAGTAGCGGCGCCAGCTGTCGTGGTAGCTGGTAGCGGCCGTGTTTTTTTGCGGTCGCCGTGATCGTTGCACTTGTTGTGAGACCAATAGTATATAGAAGTCCCACGGCAACTAACACCCAGCAAAGCGACTGGGCGTGACACACCCAACGACTGGGACTTTGGGAATCAATACTGAAAGGGATGACGCTCGAGGTGACGATGGTGACGGAGCGAGAGAGCATCACATGCCCCGTTGATCGAAATGATCTCGACAGCGAACGAACTACATAGACTTGATATCCAATCTCGGGCACATGAGTTGATGGCTGCTTCTGGCAAGTGTAAACCTTGCTCCATTCTTCACTCTAGCATGGCCTGGGCTTCCCTGCGCTCCTTGCGCTACTCGAGCCTGCCAACCCACACAGCAGCCGTATTTCGGTGCACTCATTGCGCGCGGGATGCCAATGTCCAAAGCCCGGCCTGTTTCTCGTAGCCTCCTCTTATATCCGCCGATGGCGCTGGATTTGCAGTGCAACTTGCAGACCTGGTGGAATCAACACCGGCACGTAGCCCACAGGGCGAACAGTACGCGAAAAAACAACAACCAGTCCACGCCTTCTCTCTTCCTTAGCCATGCGCTGACAAAACAAGACAACCTGTGTTGTGTCTCCCCATGCAGGGCAAACCAGCATTCTTGCAAGTCAATGTGCGATTATGACTTTCAGCATATGGAGCCGTCAAAAGCAGCGCTTTTACGCACAGGTCCCCGAATCATGATCGCGCGAGTGTCCTAAGCAAAGGCCCACTTAAGCCCCATGCAGCCTTCTCTGCTCGCTCATTCTCCTCCGGCCCCTTTGCTTCCCTGAGTGCCAGACATTCACATCCTAAGATGTCGACCGCCTCACCCTTCTGCTTGGATGTCAGAGGCTGGTGCGTGACACCTTGTGCTTTGTTGTTTGCAGAATCCTTCTGCACCTCAGCTGTGGACGTGGTCGGTGCACGGGGTTGTCCATTGAACCCTTCTGAGTGGGGCTTCGGCAACATCAAAGAATGCATAGCGCAGAAAACACTCGAAGAACTTCTTGAACTCCTTCTCTGACAGAACGCCGTCCTTCTCAACCGTGGGTCATGCCGTGCAAGACAGTACAAGACCGAGAAGAGCCACCCTTTGAGTCCTTGTTCAGGTCTGTGGCATCAAAAAATGAGCGCAGGTTGCCCTCGCGTGGCCTGCAGATTTCGCTTCGAGCGCATCCTTTGCATGTGCTGCAACATCTGGGGGGCTGTTCAACCATCCTTCTACTTTTTGGCGAGCAAACATACCGTAATATTCCTCAAGAGCTGGCTTCAAGCGTCGCTCCGCAATGCTGGGAGCACATATTTCGGATTGGGTTCATGATGGTTCATGTCGCCCATTTCGAAGTCTTGGAATCCTGGGAAGAACCTGATAGAGCTCACAGATGTGTAAGCACTGACATGACCAAAACAAAGCACCCCGGACCTTCCCCTGCCGGTCGGTATTAATTCGGCGGCTTTGCGGAAAGGAAGCACAGCGCAATGCCGCGCCCTTCCACTCGACTGTTATCCGCCCGCTGTTTATTCCTAGTTCCAAAACTGTTTGCAGCAGGCCCATCGTCGACTCCGAAACAACGTCCGAGCGGGACGGCTTTGCAGCCCATGCCGACACATCTGCCTGGGTGTGCCGGCTCACCAGTTCGCTTTGATGCTGTGCGCTGGAAAGGGAACATTCGTGTCGTATTTAGTGCACATACTTTTCCGCATTTTGAGTGCCAGAACATCCACCTCGGTCAGACAAGTCAGGCTTGCTGTCTCACCGTCTCTACCTTACAAGTGTACCGGCCAGCGTTTTGTGCCCTGCTCCGACTCCTCGGCACGTGAAGTAGCGTGCTTACTGGCCGGACGGTTTCCTGATCGCCTTCGGGGTTTCCGGATCTTTGAATTGCCTGGACTTCCCGGACCCGAGCAAGGCTGACAGGCTGACAGCGCGAATCACTCAAAATTTGCGTCACCCTTCGCTGGCATCGCAAACTTGCCGGCATCACGGCTGCAAGCCGAAACTCTCGTAAAGGCTGTTCACGAGGGGCAAAACCTGTGAAGTGCTCTGCAGCACCGCCAGAGGTACCGAAGAACAGGGGCATTCAATACAGTTTTCTTCACCCGCAAATGTGCCTCCGACCAGCTCAGCACTCCGTCACCATTGGCGTCGAATCTGGGACAGGTTCAAAATTCAGAATGGCGTGCCACCCCGCCCCGCCCTAGAACGTCGAATCTAAGAGGATCTCTTCCGAAAATTCTCCTTGCACACCGCGGCAAACATGACGGGACCTGCAAGTGAGCGAAACTAGGCAAGTCGTCAGAGTCAGCATTGGAGACACAAGTATCTTTGCTTTCTCCTCGGCTCTCGTTCAGGATAGGGGTTTCACACAGTCTGACATGTGCATGGTCACAGCAATGAACTCAAACCGAGTGCATCGTCACAACCCGTTTTTATGCTGCAGGTTAGGGGAACAGTACATGAGACTGGCATGCGGACGAACAATGCGGACGGCTCCAATCGAGAGGTCTTTTCAAGGATGGTCTGCGTCAATTCTGACGGAGAACAATGACAGCCTCATACTCGAGAAATCTATTGAATCTAATGCTTTCTATACGTTCAACTTCACCCGGAACTACGGCCAATAGCCAATGTCGTCAAACTCTTGACATATGCCATATGCAGCGTACGAGTAGGATACTGCTGAAGGCAACCTCATGCACTTCACTGATTGGCAAGTAAACGAGCTGTCCCCAGCACGACCGCACTCGCACTGTTCCTGCGCAAGCATGCGCTCTCATCGTGCTCCGAGCCCTCTGAACTGTCTTCTTCTGACTGACCATAAGCATGGCCATAAGTGTCCGCTGTCCGGCGAGCACCCCCGGCCGGGCACACTAGAAATCCTATAGAAGCACTTGCTTTCTTGCTTCCTTTCTTGCTCGCTTGCTGGCAAAGAGATTGCGACTGCCCTTCTCCCCCGCGAAGAGGCCCTGTGCGTCAGGCAGTGCTGCGGGAATCGGTTTGAAACTAAGAGCCCCCCAGCAGAATGTCACCATGAAGGCATGCAGCATCACATCTTGGGTGGAATACGCACTTGCATTGCGGGGTTGCCTGACTCCCCGATTTGGAGCCAGGGAGGGGCCCCGGCCTGCCCCTGCGAGCCCCTGCGGCTTGTGGGTCGGTTAGGTTGGTGTTTCCCCGCCCGTGTGGCTGTGTGACTCCGCAACCTCCTAACACCCTCCTAAAGCATGAGGGCCTCCTCAACGATGATCCTAAGAACCATCCTGCTTGCTAGCAGGCGCAGGAGCTCCACTCCCGCCACACAGCATTGCCTACTGCCGAGTTGCCTTCCCACCCCTCCCTGAAGCATTTGCACTCGCTGGGAACCACGGCAAGACACATATGTGCAGAACCTTCGCTTTGGTTTGCTCGGGGGTAGCCCGACCAATCCCCACAACACCCGCGCGCACGTGCGATCCGTGGCAGGTCCAGGTTTTGGCCCGCTTTGGCCTCGGCACCCCGGGTTGCTGTAACGGTTCCCCTGCCACCATTGGCGGTAGCTCCGGTGGGTTGTCATCTGCCTGGTTGATCGCTTCCTGCAAGCTGTCAATTATCACGTCCGCCCCGACACTCAGCTGAATTGAAACTATCATGTGATGTGCTTCTCTCCTCTTGGCGTGGGGTTTGCCTGTCAGGGTTGCACTGGTACACCGGCTCAGCGACGGCTACAGAGGGGTGGATCTTGGATGAAGCAAAGACCATCGACCATTGAGATACTAGGCAATACCTCTTTGTCTCTCTGAAAATCCTTCGTGCCCTGTTCGTTTGCTCCACAAATCTTGGGCTCGACAGGTCTGGATTTGCCCGAGGTCGAGGCTCGTAAGGAGTGTCTTCACGTGCTCCTGGTCATCCTAGGTCCCAGCCCCCATGATGTGCCATTGTGCGCCATGCCCGGCATACCACGCTGAGCTGTCTGCAGGATCAACCTCTCGCTTGCCAGTGCCACCAAGGTCCTGCAAGAATGGCCGCAGACAAGCCTATAGGCCTAGAGAGGCTAGAGCATGCAAGAGCGCCAAGCCATTTTCGCTCCAAACTTCAGCTGGCACAGCGCCACTGCGAATTGACAAACTTTCAAGGGCTCGGCGCAGTGGCAGAGGCAGGTCAGCACGGACGCGGAGGGGCTCTTCGTCCAGACCTGTCAGGGTGTGGCTCTGCAAACTAGCATCACAGCTCTTCATCATTTCATCTTGCGGTGCATGCAAGAAGCTAATAGGCTTGTAATGCAACGCCGCAGTTTGATGTTTGCGAGGCCGGCTTGCGCCACGGCCCGCTGAGTGAGTTTGTATTGCTTGCATGCAATAGTTCCATATGCAACATTGCTGGACAAATCCCTTTCAATGCTGACACATGCTGTGTAGTCCCACCAAGCAAATGCACGCTTCGACGCTTGCGCGCCGTCAGGCGGCAAACATTGCTTTCCCCGGCTGCAGTCCTGCAGTCCTACGTTTCTAAGGGTTCTGCGTTTTGAAATGTTTTGAAGGCCTGAACGGTTGGGAAAGGAAAGGACAGGCAGCTCATCTCGCACTTCCAAGCACTGCATGCTCCCTATTCAAACCTTGGCGTCGCGAGCGGCATTGCAGTTTCAGACCCGATCCATCCATCTACTAAGTGTTACCAGAACCTTACTAGAACAAAGAGACTGATTATAGTGGGGGCCAGCTTAGCCGCGAGCCATCCGAAAATCCTTTTGCCCTTGATTACGCTCAGCTTACGCTATCTCACCAGGTGAACATCTGTAATCTGTTCGCGGCACTGCCAGGCCTAAGAAACGAAGCTCCCAGCAGTGCAGGAACAGCGTGGGGCACCACTGCGAAATGGCAAGCCTCCAAAGGTTATTGTCAGCATGCTATCAGCTGTACTGTCCAAACAGCTGAGGACGCCGCGTGCGCTGCTCATCAAGGCCTGCTGGCAGAAACGAGACCCGCCCCAGCCGCATCCAGCCACCGCAAATGTCGAATGCGCTTTGACTTTCCGCCTTCCCCGGAGGCGTTGCTCGCCTCCGCTCGCAACATGTTGCATCTGTCTTACTGCAGACAAGAGGGTCACGGAAAGTGGGGGAGGCCTTGTTATATTTGTCGTCGCCCACCAAAGGCAAGCCCACCTGAACATGCCGTGACAATGCCGTGAAAGCTGCAGCGCTGCAGAACAAGCAGTTGCTCGTGGCAGACCTATTATAAGATCCAAACACTGGCCAAGTGCGCCCGGATTTGGTGAGTCCTTCGAGCAAGAGCGCTCTTTTCACGCGGCTGCAACAGCGTTCTGTGCAAACGTGCCCCAGTAAACGTCATGCTCCTTCCAGTCACAGGCCACACCTGTAGCAAACAGACTCCTGCAAGAGAGTCTGATGACCGCACTCTCTGCTCAGCTGCTCTCTGGGAGTGAGGCCGTCAGCCAGTCCTTCTTCGAGCAGATGCTGCCTTGTGAACGTGGCCAAAACCTTGTAGCGAGTCGTTGATGGCAGACCGGCTGAAGATACCTGACGCGGAGGCAAAGGCACAAAGCAAAGGTGTGGCAAAACACAGCAGCCCCGGATCATATAAGGCACGGATAGGCCCGGCCTCTGTCCAGCTGTATCCGTTTCCAGCAGATTTAGAGTGAGTGGTCAGCAGTGGGCTTGAAACTTCCCTTTCTGCTCCGGCTGGTGCTAGACCAATGCACAAACACAAGTAGCTTTTGGATATGAGGCGCCCCGCAAACTGTGCCAAGAGCCACCATGCTTGGAGGCTAGTTGTGCTGCCAACTGCTGCAAGCAGCACGCCAGATGTGGGCCGGTCCAAGCGGGAGACTTGTGTTATCCTGGTCTTCAGCTTCGCAGACAGGAAGCGGAGTACATCTTCTGTGGAGAAGCCGGCAGGTTTGGAGACAGCGACGAGGCCATCGGACTGGTACAGCAGCGTTAATGAAGGCAGTCTAGGCAGCCTGCTCCTCATTGCTGCGAAGTCTTCTCGGTATTCGCTCATCTCGGCAATTGGCCCGAAATCGGCACCATGACGAGCACATCCAAAAATGTCTTGCCATCCGCTAGAGCCGAAGTAAGCACCTGCGAAACGAGCTCTGCACAGACTACGACATGCGCAATTCTGACTGGAGGGACGAGTGGAGTGCTCTGCGCCTCGAAGAGCTTTGAGCAGATCAGCAGCACGCTCGAATCCCAATTCGCCTTGCAGAGCAGCTATGGCGGAGCCTGCCTCCACTCCGTTTGCCATGAAACACGACCTAGCCATTGTCTTGATCCTGGCAGCTCTAGGGCTCCAATTCGGCTGAGTTCCGCACGCATGGTAAGGTGCGTACTATCATTTACAGGAGTGGCAGGTATCAACTTAAATGTCAAGTTAAAGACTAAAGCTTCAAGCGTCATAGCGAGGGTGTGCTCCCATTTGGCTTGCTGCCCACAAGTGCTGAGAATGCTCGCGTACGTAATGTGGGTTGCCGGCACCGTCATCTCCTGCAGGATCTGCAGCGCAATACCCCAAGCGGAACCTTTCCCACAAGCACTTAGCATTGCATTCACCGTCACTGTGTTCTTGCGGATCTGAGCAACTTCCATTTTCTGGAAAAAGTCCATGGCCAGCAGCCACTGTTTCGCTTTCTCGCAGGCACTGATAACAGCACTGTATGTGATTGTGTCCCGTTGCAGCTGGTCTTTAGACATGTCCAGCAACAGCTGCGTGACAAGTTGCCACCGCTGTGCCCTGCTGCATGCGGTGATCGCAGAATTAAAAGTAATAGTGTTACGCTGCACTGTGTCGCAAGCCATGGCTGCCAGGAGTTGCAGTGCCGCTTCCCAGCAGTTGCTTTTCTCACAAGCACTGATGGAAGAGCTGAAGGCAATCGTACTTCGGCCAAGATTGGACTCTATCATCTCTTTCAGGACACCGAGGGCCATGATCCAAACGCTTGCTTTCTCGCATGCGCTGATGGTGGAGCAATACGAAAAAGCATCTAGTTGCAGGCCCCTCTCCAACATGGCCTTCAACATCTCGAAAGCCATGGTCCAGTGGCCAGCCCTTGCTACTGCTGCTATTGCTGTGTTGAAATGTATCGAATCCGGCTTCAGCTCGACCTCTTCTAATCTCGTCACGAGCTCCAGCACCTCCAAGGCTGATTGATGTGTATTGACCAGGAGTGCGTTGCGTGCTGTTACCAGGCTCGGGCGCACGCTTCGGGACAACTTTAGACTTCGGATTTTTGGAGCCTTATGCGGTCCTCAACTGGCCGCGCAGGTGCTAGGTTGCGATGAAGCAGGAAGGAGCATGCTTTTGCCTATGATATCTCTAGAGTCAGGTGACGCGGGGCCTATTGCCTTGGCACCTGCCTAGCAGCAGACGTCACTCAAGCTTACACATTGCTGAGCAGCTGCACCTGAGGCCAGGCAGTTTTCTTGACCAGACCGGAGAGAGCTGTAGTGACCAGCTTGGGGTTTTCGCGCCAGGCGGAGGGAATCTGCTGCTCTGGCATCACCTCCTCTGTGTAGCTGTTGGGGTGCAAAGCAGCCCTGGAGACATGGCTGAAAGCAGCCAAGTATTCCATGAATTCGTGGCAATTGAGATCTATTGGCTGCAGAGAAACCGGCACACTACAATCACTACATATCACTACTACAACGTCAACCAAGGCGCCGCTGCAAGAGCTGCAAGATGCTGCCATTAGTGAACCTGCCCTTTCAAGCACATGGTGGCCTGATATAGTGATAACTTCACAGTCCGAACTATCACATCGCCGATGCTGGACCTGAGAAGACCTTCATGCAACCTGCCCAAAGCTCTGCTGCGCGCTCCCGAATGGCAGCTGCAGCCTGACCTCTCAAGTTACGCGATGCAAGTAGCACGAAGTGTCCACTCGTAACCTAGTCTGGCACCATCACGAACCACATGGCTCACCCTAAATGTCAGAGCAGGCCACACTCATTCCACTGGCTTGAAACTAACTGGCATCCCAGAGGGTCTCGCACGATCTTAGTCTTGGAAACACTGAGAAGATAAGAGGCTTGAGAAGGACAGAAGGGGATGTAGGCTGACGGATGCTGTGCAGTCAACGAAGCGAACCTGCGTGGCCATTGTTTTCTCGGAGGATGGCAGCCACTTTGGCTGCTCCTGCACGGCCACGCCAGGCTGCTGAAAGTTTGGAGTCCCGTCCCGCCTGTATCGGGGAATCGCTCGCAAAGCCGATCCTAGTAGTGAGGGAAAGCAAAAAAAACCAGGATCGTTCGTACTTCAGGCAACGACGAAGATAGCTTGCCATGCTTGCTCTTCTGGCCTTGCTCAAAGCAACATCTTCAACCGTTTGCATTCTCCGGCTCTCTTGAAGTCCTAAAGTCCTAAAGCCTGGCTTGCCAAGGACAGAGCTGCAGATGCTCCGACGGTGCCATCGCTGAAAAGTCTGCTGTCAGTTGCTCAGTTGGACACAGAAGGACAGCTTGAAATGCCTGCTTCTGATGCTGTGACTACCTGTGACGGCAGAGACTAGAGGATCGCTTGGAGTGTCTTCGCAAAAGTGGAAGGCATCATGCGACACGCTGCAGGCCGTGCGGTTGTGCCAGCTGCCAGATCTGTGTTGCTGGGCCTCGGAAGGATTTGAGCCTTCAGATCGCAATGCGCCGAATGTGCCTTGAACGACAAATCAGCGAATCAGCTGACAGATTCGGTCAGGTGACGTTTTCGACAAGCCTTTCAAGTGGTTTACAGGCAGCCCGGCAAAAGACAAGTCGCATGAGGAATCGGGGCCAGTGGTGCCGTATGTGCGAGTATTGCATGTAGTGTGGAGGCAGATACCAGAACAAACTCATACAAGTTTGCCTTCGACTTGTGACACTCCGGACATCGCTTTGCAAGTAAAAATATCGTACGGGGTGCACCTGAAACAGCCTGCTCTGCAAGTGTCCGGCGCGCAGCGCAATGCTGAGAACTACCACGGTTCGCACTGGAAGGACAAAAGGCTTGAGCTTTTCGGTCGTGCCGGGTCATTGACTCAGCCTCGTCGAGCTGATTTCTGGCATTTCTCAGCACTCAGGAGGCTCTTAGCTGCACTCCTTCTTCGGGAGTCAGCCTGGCTCTCGGATCCTCAACGTGAGGTGAATGCCATTAACATAAAGTGAGCCGCAAATTGCTCGTGCTCAATACGGTTGCAGATGTATGCGCATACATATGCAGTTCGTAGGTCCCAAATTGTAGGAGTATGTTGCCCTGAACTGAGTGCGGATCGAACACGAAGGTCGCTTCGCGACTCAATGTCAAGGTTGGGAAATCCGACGAGATCGGTGTGGTCACTTGAACTGTCCGCCGGAGACACCCAACATTGCTCGGCTTCTTGCGAAGCCGTCTGAGGCAATCCAGCCTAAAAGCTCCCGTCCCAGCAGAATGCAAAACCTCGAAAAACTGGGCTTACATGTTGCCTGGGCTACAACTTGTTACAGAAATTTATGGACGCGTGGCGGGTCAGAAAGGCAAGACATATAGAGTCACCCAGCCCTGCTCAGCAGTCTGCTAGACTCCGGACATTTTCGGTGTGCCGGTACATCGTATGCTCGATGCATAGCACAAGCGCTCTAGCGGCCCTGGCGCACTTGTCCAGTGCGCTGCTGCAAGATTTACTTCTTCACGTGACTTCAGTCCCTAGAGCAACAGCATGTGACAACTATGGTGCCGCCAACCAAAGAATCCTGCAATAGCATAGGCCACGTGCACCGACACCTCCCAGCAACTGCTATCAGGTTCAACTCTCCGGGCAGAGTCCCTTCAGCATCGGGTCTGCCAGGCTGTCCAACAACCGAAACCATCTGTCTCCAATATGTATGAACTTAGACTGAGATTATCCTGGCGAAACGATTCTCAGGCCGTGCTGATTCTTCGAAGATGCTCGGTGTGAATCAAGACGTGCTGCCTCAAATATGCCGCACTGGGACAGGACATCATGGCGATCGCAGAGCAACTGAGCAGCGGAGTGTTTCTGTTCATGCTGACGTAAGGCTGACGTACTCAGCTTTGCAGCCAAAGGGCGTGCCAAATTCTCTGGAATGAAGCCACGGATCTGACAAGTACAGCGTCCAGCAATCGTAGTCTTGGGCTACGTCGGCTATGTGACTTTATAGGCGAAGTGGTTGCAAGCTACGAAGCTGGCTGCTTTGCTGTAGCATCGCGTGCCATGTATCTCGAATCAACTTATATGGAGAGATTGAAGTGACCTTGGTCCTTGCCGCCTTCTCCGCCATGACGTCACCCTGGACCACATCCGAGAGTTGTTGGATCTGAAGCTCGTTCAGCCAGGTCTTGGATAGCGAGTCAGTTTGCAGAATAGCAGTCGCTGACAAGTGGGCGGGGCTGCCAAACTGGGCCAGCACCATGCAAGTGGGGGCTCACAGTCGCGCAGAATGCACCACCACATGGACTGCTGAAGGCTTACTGACGGGAAAGCTGCGAACATAACTTGCATCCTGGATGCGATGAACTGACGCGCGTAGAGCTGCACCAAACGAACTAGAGCCGTGCTGGACTGCTCCACAACCTGAGACACCCACACAGAACGCATTAAGTTTCATGAATTTCGCACAGCATCCAGAATCGCGTGACACCACCCCTGCCTTAGGGTAGCGAGAGGCAAAAACTGAAACTTTCAGGTACGCCCCCCCACCCCTCCATGAGCCCTATACTGCCCTATACGCCTAAATGAAACAAAGTATCTCTCCCCTGATAAGTGTCAACAATCAGGGCCATGCATCTTAAACCTTCCGCCTAACCTATTTCGTTTTTTGAAGATGTAACACATGTGTACATATCTATAAGTATAATTCTCTGTACCTTTGTATGCATATTAATATTATATAGATGTCTCCAGAAAGGTTGAAGGTGTAGTGTTTGGGGGGTGGAAGGGTTTAGGATTGAGGAGGGTTTAGGGTTCAGGGTCTAAGGTTTCCAGCCCAGACCCGGCGGATGCTCATGATGCTCGTTAATGGTGGGGGCTGGTTGTTTACGCTCCTAGATTTGTGGGGCCTTTTGGTGGGTTGATCGCGCCCCAAAACATGTGTGCTTCAAACCTACAGCTGGGAATCTCGGCGCCCATTCCCCCCGCAACTCGGGTTGGTCCGAGCCAGCAATTCCTGCTCAAGGCTTTCTTGGTGGAGCTCTCGGGCTCGAGGTTTTGGGTTTTATGCTCTGGAGTGTGTTAGTTTGCAGGTTCAGGGCTTTGCGGTTTAGCCCGTCCAACAAACCGGGAGTGAATCTGAGATGATTTTAAGGTGCCATGCCTGGTCCTGATGTAACGGGTACTGTAGACTGTAGGGGCCTCAATACTTGGAACCGGCTTTGGGGGTACATGAGTCGGGACCGAAGGCATGCGCGTGGAAAAATTGCAGCACTCGGTTGCTAACGCGGCGGGTCTCTAGCGAGCATGGCCTGGATTGTAATTGACCTGTATTCGAAAACGCTGCCTGCTCGTGGCAGGATTGAATTTTCATGTTGGAGTGATTAGTGTGGGACGCCTCGAAGATAAAGTTTCCCCGGCAGTTGGGAATCCCACAACAAAAAAGCTTCTCCGGCGGACAATGCTGCTGGCAATTAGGTTATTGAGCTGGTTTCTCAGGCATCTGAGCCCTCAGCAACGGCAGCCACCACTGATCTAATCAACATCCAAGCCACCTGAATATTCAGCTGCTACTACTACTACTACTGCTGCTACTGCTACTGCTACTGCTACTGGTACTGCTACTGCTACTACCACTACCACTACAACCACTACGACCACTACGACTACTACGACTACTACGACTACGACTACGACTACGACTCCTACTACTACTACTACTACTACTACTACTACTACTACTACTACTACACTTCCGTTCGACAGCTTTTGTATTGGCGCTATCAGCTCCCGCTGTCCGTCAACGCAACTTTCCTACAAGTAGCTTCCAAGGCACCAATGACTATTGCATCCGTTCGCCGGTCGGGTGTGTGTGTGTGTGCTGACTGTCCACAAGATCCACAAGCAGCCCTACTACGCCTGTTGAGACAGATGGGCGTAAGACCAAAGACTAACTTGGTGCATGGTGCAAAACCATAATCAGTACACCGCTAAGTCGACGAGAGGCGCTGCCAAATGCCTCCGAATCGATGCTGACAAGCGTGGACTCGCCCAGAGATTCTGCAGTGCCTGCTCGGGAAATACTGAATGGACCCAACAAAGCTTCCATGACTTTCGCTTCGACTTGACACTGTCTTCAATGTCACATGCAACATCAACACGGCTTCCAAGATTTGTGATCCCGGCCTAGGTGCTCCCAGCTTGTCAGCCAGAGGGCTTGTTCCGTTATCCAGTCGCAATCTATCTGTACATACTCCTGGCGTGCGAAATCGCAAATAAGAGCCTTTCACACGTGGTCTCCGCACTGACAGAGGCCCCTTCCTCGTGCGAGACTTTCTTGTACAGCAGCCTTAACTCTGTAAGATTCAATGCAATTGCGCAGCGGGGCCTCTAACTGAGTCTACCTCAGCCACTGACATTCCTGAGGTTAGAAAGGTCATCTCTTTGGCCTTAGATGTCAAAGACCATCTTCGAGCTGCAAAGGGAATCCGATCTGATTGAGACGAGCTGATCACGCGCACGGAACAACTTTGCAGCTTTTCACACCTGTTCTGCAGCGACGAAGAGGAAGTCGTTGTGTGCGAGCTGCTTTGGTGCCAATGCCTCGCTAGCACAAAAACTGGGGCACCCCTGCCCGACCCTCCCTTTCCATGTGGCCACCTTGATGCACATCCGTTGCAGGAATAAGGTCGCATTCAGCTCCATGGTTTCGAACAAAGGATGAACAACCTGAGACTCAGGAAGCCCATCGTCACTTGCCTGCACACTACATGGCCACAGGCCGCGGCCAAATGTGGCTTGTTCATGGCAAAGGTCAACTCACCCAGGAGCTGCTCGGAGATCAGGTTGAGCAAGGTCACCTGGCAAACGAATCAGGACGCCTCCGAGTCGGCTTCGGAGATGCAAAATCAACCAAATCAGGTGAGGAAGGTCACAGCAAATGTTACGGCGGCACGACTGTGCAGCTTGCATCCGTGACGTGCGCACATCATTTGTGATCCAGAGGATGCTGGCTAGGAACGCGCTGTCGGAGCAGGCGGGAGGTTACCGACCCCGTCTGGACACCGACCGGATCTTGGGAAGCTGTTCGGTCCCGAAAGGTTGAAAGGAGCACACCATCCGTGGAACCTGCATCTGGGCCGCATCCCGTCAAATAGCTAGCGGCACCCCAATTGACAGCCTATATACGCAGCACGTCTTAAGCGGCAACGGTCTTTGGATGGTCCGCGGCTTGAAGCCCGTGATTGCACCGTCGCTTTGCGGAGTCTGCAGCGGCTCCACTCAGTGTCCAAT